ACAGGGGTAAAGCTATGTCGTTCCCAGTCTAGAATTACTTGAAGTCTCCTGTTAAATCTGGAATGCAGCTCACCTACAGGTCATTTATGAGGCTGTACAGAGCTGCAGTTCCAGCTCTGGATCCTATAGGTGGCATTAAAAAAATCTGCAAAACATCTGGACACTGCTCACAAGCACAACAGCTCTTTTACACTGCAATGAAAGGATCATTTTCCAAAGGGCAAGACGTAGGGTAGGAACTCATACAGGAAAGATTATCATGTATTGTATCATCTGCCTTCTTAAATATATTTTACTGATGACCTGCACTGCTGGAGACCCAAACAGTGAGCTCAGCTGGGAGAACTGATCTCGACTGGAGACAGGTATGGGCTAGTTGGATCCACTTCCACTAACAGATACTGCACCTTCGTCCCCAGCCGAGATGACTGCAGGTGCTATGCAGCACACACCATGGCAGAGTTAGAGCATTTAATAATACTGCTGCCTGCTTTGCTGTCTGCTTTCTTGAGTACCTGCCAAAGCACACGGCGTGTGATCCAGGACAGCGTCACCCCTCCACAGTAAAACGCAGTCAGTGCAGGAGCTTTTGCATAGCTGTTCAGCACAGCAGCACATTGCCACACAACCATGAGGGAAAAGCAGCAATGGCAACTTTTGCAGGCATCCTGTACAAAACCTGCTCTTGACAGCAAAGTTGAGATTCATCCCATTGCAAACAGCGCTCTGGGCTCTTTAATGGTCACAATTGCTGTGTCAGTGTCGCCTCTCGTGTCCATGAGGGAAGTCCTGTTTGTAAGGTGGGTAACAGCATCCCACACTTCACTTACCTTGACTCATTGATGGTGAAGGAGCAGCTGCCCCAGTGCAGCTGCTGAAACAAAACCCCAACCCTCCCACTTCGTAGAGCCGGGGCACTGCAAGAGTGGATCCAGGCTGCTCAGTCCATGGATAGAGCCACTTACCAGCCCGCTGCGGCTGGGCCTGCCCCCAACAGATGATGCCACTGAGCTGACAGAGCTGATGGAGGAGCTGCTAGGGCTGTGGGTTAAGGCAGACACTCCCATGGCCATTCGTTTGCTCTTCTTTGCCTTGGCAGGGCTGGTTGACGGGAACCCAATCCGGATCACCTTGTGGATGGGAGCAAAGAGGCCAAACTTGAGAGGGCACTGAAAATACCTGTAATACAGGAGATGCACCAAGTCAGAAGTGGTAGAGCATCCATCTCGCCCAAACCTCATAGAATGGCATTGCCAAGTAATACACAACCACCAGCCCTCTGCTCATCTCTTGGTGCTTTGCTGTGGCATTGTTTCCTGTGTGCAAGCAGCTGGGTTATTCTTTCCTGCCACTCAGAGCAGTGGCAATCTCCGTGTTTTCACTTACGGTGCTTAAGCAGGGAAACCCAAGTTAATTGCTACGTACTTTGATGAGATGCCAGCAAAGACCCATCTGGTAGCTCAGATGGCAAAGATCCCAGTACATAAACACAGCAAGAGCACATGTACCCCTTCCTTACTGCAACAAACCAACCCGTGTGTATTCTCTGCCCTGCTTTGCAAGAAAGTCATAGCAAAGTGGGATGAATAAGATCTGAATCACACAGCTCCGTATAAATGTTCTACAGTGTAAAATTCTTTCATATGACAACAGAAGGGGAAAATGGCAGTTCCTAGCTTCAAAGCTAAAAATACCATTACAGCAAATTCCAGTGCGTGCCATCTCCTTTGGGTGGAAGAGAAAGATAAACTGGTTCCCATTCAGACAGACTTGGAAAGAAGCAAGCATAAAAAAGGGAGGATCAGATAATTACGGTGCAAGCTCTTTTTCACAAGTGCAGTGAGCCTGATGATTATGTCCCACTGGAACCCTCTTTCAAAATACACATGAGCCAAACCTCACAGTATCAAACCTTAGAAACCCCTTCAGAGCTTCGGCCAACTGGCTCAAGCCAGAATTTATCTGTTGCTGCGCAGCTGCTCTGCAGCAAGTAAAACCAGATCATCTCCAGGTGTCGTATCCCCTGTTTCAAGGGAGTAGTCAACACAGGAAACCATCCCCATTAAGAGTCATTTCTCAAAGGCTTTGGAGGAAGGTTAGAAGAAAATACTAGGCCACATAATAGTCTGTCCTATGTTAACATAAAAAACCAGGTCCTAGTGAAAAAAATGACACAAACCCAGCTTTGCATAAGTGCTCTCTCTCCAGATGTGAGCAGCTGCTTCCCCAATTCCCTTTTATTTCTAAGTGATGGCAGGCACACGGCTGTGTCACAGGCAGACCTCTGTGTGCCTGGGAGGCCAGAGAACGGCCTCATCTCTAGCCATGAGATCCTTCCAGATGAGAAAGTGATTAATTTTTAAACATCTGCTCAAGCCCCATTTTTTCCTATAAAAATCTTTAAAGAAAAGAAACAAACAACCCTCTACAACCCAAAATCTCTTAGTCCCCTCTGCTTGCTGCCAATGCAGGCTCTTGGATTTGGAAAACCAGCCACACCACAGGCTGACCTCGCTGCAGAACTGGGGCCCAAGGAAGAAAATCAGTCTGACCTCTCACAAAGCAGTCAAAGCCCTGCTCAGCATCATATTCTCAAACTGACATAGGCACAGGTGGACAAATAGCACGGACAGCCCCTTTCACAGGTCTAAGCATAGACTGGAACTTGTGGCTGCACAACAATGCCAAAGGCTAAGTCCCCCAAAAGCCCTCTGACAGCTCTTAGCAAGTCCAAACTTGCATCACTCTATGTCTGCTCATTTTCTTTTAGTCCAAACTGGAAGTGGTTACAATTAACTTCTATAGTTCAGAAGCAGGAATTAGGTCCAGAACACTTGGCAGAAGGAAAAAAAAAAAAAGTCTGCTTGAAAACCAAGGGCCACTCTCACTGAGTGCTAAGGAGCTCTATACCCACATTACAGAAAAGAAACAGGGGAGAAGAGTGGTGGTGTGATGGCAATGCAAACTGCAGGTGGGAAACAGCACAGGAAATTTTGAATAGGTTTAAAAAAATCACCTTCAGTGTCCAAGGCCTGTAGCTGACATGTTTCAGAGCATGCAAAAGTAAAGGCATGAGCAGTTTAGTGGGAAAAGGCTCCCATAGGAGCAGAGGCACAGAAGGAAGAACAGTGAAATAAGCAAGTAAAGGTTAATACACTAGAAATGAGTAAGTGGAACTTGCTTGGCTTTTTGGAAAAGAAACAAAAAAATCCACACCAGCATATCTCTAGTTTCCCATGCAGACAGAAAAGCAGATGCAGCAAACACCAGAGTGTTTCAGTATCCATCTGATGTACGGAGAAGGGCTTCATCACAGTGATATCCTTCTGCTCTTGGGCACTGCTACTGACTCTCAGCCTGCAGGCAGCTTCCACCAGAGAACCAGAGCTGCTCAGGAAACCCTGGCCTTTCATCCTTCCCTTGATGCACACCCAGACCTTCCTGAAACTGCAGAAGAATCAGAGCGACTCTCCTCAAATTTCAGCGGATTCACCTCCAACTCAACTGGAGAGCCCACTGCAGCAAAGATGGAGCCTTAGTCCTTTGCTCCCTCATTTGCCCACATTTGCTCTCCTTCCACCAGCCTCTGCTGTCTCCAGTTGGCTCTTTGGACTCAACTCTCCTGCTGCAGCAGAGGCTACTGCAGCAGCGAGCGTTGGTCTTGGGTAGCCAGGCCAAGGATGCTCACTAGATGGCAACAACTACCAAAGCAGATACTGCAAAGTCCTGGACGGTCTCAACCTCAACTGATTCTGGCAGGACAAGCCCAGGGCAGCAACAGGAAACCCATGAGGCTGTGGCAAACTCAGGGAAGACAGTATGAGGGGTGCCTGCATGCACCAAGAGAGTTGATTTTACTACGTTGGCTTTCCTCCAAAACCCTGCTGTTGAAATCAGCACATGCTATAAGAGAATCAGAAGATTGGATGAAGGCTCAAAGGACAAATGAGGACAATGCTGCAAACCTGCAGACAGATCCATGATGGACAGAGAGCTCTTCAGCTGGACAGTCCACGTGTACCACTGCTGCATCACCTACTATCTGTTATTGCTAGATGATATTGGATGCAAGAGGTGGGGGTGCCTACAGAATTCACTCAATCTCCCCCATTTAAACAAAACCTCTTAATTCACTCCTGATCCCTGCTGCGGAGCTCAATTTTTCCTGCTTTTGATAAAGTGTGAAATGAAAGCAAAGCCTTGCAGACAGGTACACACCATAGAAACCTCAGCCAAGATGTAGCAGTTTCAGAAGAAAGATGACTTCCAAAAGTTGGATTTTCAAAACACAGCAGTGGAGGTGTGAGGACAAGAGATAGAGAGAGCACTCTTACATCTGCCTTCCACACTGTCCACGTGCACAGAGAAAATAAATAATTTCTGAGTGCCCTGAAGATTAAGCTTAGAGATGAGTCAGTGTATGATAAAGAAAAGAGGGACTTGGATTCACTCCATGATTTATTCTCTACCATCCCAGTTCTTCTCTTTTGAGAAAAGGCTGGAACTCAGCCATCTGCTGCCATTTGCTGCTTTCTTGTTCTGACATTGAACAAGGCAGCATTTTTCTGATGTCAAATGAAAACACATGGCTGCTGGACAAAAAAGGGTGATCCAACACAAGAAACCTTTATTACAGAACCTGAGATCTAACAAGGGAGGAACTCTAAGCTCCTCAAAGCTCAATCTCATCTCTAATGCAAGATTCCCTTAAAAAGCTCCAAGAAATCAAAAGTATTTCCCACTGAAGGAACTTCTGAAGGACAAAGAATCAGTTCCACCTGTATTTGAAGCAGAGTCAAAGTGCTGTTGCATATCTCAGATTCGAACATCCCAAAGCTCAGGATCTGAAGCTGGAGGTCATTCCCTTACCTAACTTCCACGTGAACAGAAGCGCCTTCCCAGCAAGCCTGTGAGGTCTCCCTGACTAGTTTTGTAGATACAAACAAGGGCTTTTTTCTTTGAAAAGGAAATAGTGGACATGCCTATGGAGTCAGAGGTGGCACGATCAACAGACAGCTGTCACACTACAGAATTACTACAAGGACAGGCAACAGCCACCAATTGGATCTCTGGAAATTTGTCCCAAGACGGACCAGTACAAATAACATTAAGCTGAGTTAAAAAAAAAAAGAGAGTCAAATCTTTACCTTCTATAGTTCTGACAGAGTGAATTATAGATAGAGCACAAGCAGCACAGCCTCCTATATGAAGGGAAGGTGTGGTAGGAAGCAGAGCTAATACAATCGCTATTTCTAGCAAAAATGAAATCCCACTGTAAGTTATCTTCTTGCACTCTCTGCTCTCGTGTTTCCTGAAGCCGCTCAGGTTACTTCTTTACAGACCTTATCTGATCCTGCTTTAAAATGCTCCAGTGATGAGGTTTCTATTGATCTCCCTGCAAAGGTATCCCAAAGCTTAAAAGACTCAAAACTGGACTCTTCTTTCCAGCCCACAATGTCCAACCAAACACAGCCCTAATTCTTCCTCCCAGGTCCAAATGGCATTTGGCCCCAGCTGCCCTAGGAGGTGTGTAGGACCTTAAATGCCCCAGGCTGGGTTTGAGAGCACACAGTACCTTGTACCAGCAACCGCCCCGTCATTCTTCCCCAGGGGTTCATCCAGCTCCACACCACACCACTCTCCTTTGGCAAAATCCGTCTCTCCCACATAGCGCACAACTCCTGTCTTTGTTCCACCAACCTGTCAGAGATAAGATGCTGAGAGTTAGAGACTGCAGCACTGGCACTGCCACAGGGGACTAAAGCTGGGACAGCTATGGAGAGAGGAGAAGGGGAAGAGAAAGACATCATCAATATTTTCTGTTTAAGATGTAGTGAAACCAGAATGGAGAGTTTTCACATCAAGTTCTCTCCAAGCAAATTGACAAACTCCCACTTGATGTTAGGACAAATACAATCAAAAACTACTTCAAAGCATCAACTAATTGCACAAAGTACCTTATGAGGCCATGAAGGATTTAAGACCTCCACGTGCAGCTTACACCCGTCTTCTGGAAAGAACCAAAATCTGCACTAACAGGGGTCAGCTCTGTCCTCTTTCAGCTGCCAGTTCTGAGCAACAGTGGGACAGGACATCAAGGGGACAAGCTCAGCCAGCTCTTCAGCTTGTCCCCACACAGGGTTTGCTAGTACATAGTGAACTGCAAATCTCTCTAAATAGAGGCATTTTCTACAGGAAAAAACCCTCTGCTTTTACCTACATGTCCCACATGAATTCCTGGCACCAGCTTGCTGCATGGGAGAGGGGCTCATTTCAATGCTAGGTTTCCACTACTGCAGATTTTTTCCCCTCCTTGGAGAAATAAGAATAAAACACACCTTTTGCTCCTATATGCACACCTGAAGCTTCCAGCGTGCTGAGCAGACTCTAGGAGAGCATAAATCAGGAATGTATGAAACTGTGTTTTGATCACTGCTATGAGAGCACATTTCACTGAGCTGCATCTGTCTCTGCCTCTGCACTGGAAGCTCCTACTTAAATCCTTGTGCTGAGAAAAGAAAGATGGAAAAGTAGGAGGGTGGTTTTAAAGGTTCACACTTCAAGTAAACCAGCACATGTCTTAAACCTTTTTTTAGCCTATCTCTGCTAAAGCAGGTTCAAGGAAGAAAGCTTAAAAAGTAAGTTTAAAATTAAAATTGCAGCTTTGTCTTGAAGGACTTCCTGTTACTAATGTCATTAATATTAAATTTTACATAAACAGCTTTCAACAGAGTAATATTCTCCTACAAAAAACAGTGATAGTCAAATGCAGAAATCTCCAGTTTTGTGTATTCCAGGGTAGGGATGTTACAGATTTACCAGTTTGGAATCTGTACAAAGTCTGAAAATTGCTTATGCACAGGAGAAAGTGTTTTCCCATCCTAAAAATAAATGCAACTGGATGGATTAGAAAACACAGCTCTGAAGTCTGGGCCCTACCACAAGTCCTGGGAGGCTGCGCTGCAGCACACAGCTCGAGTTAGGTCTTCTGTAAATTCTCTCACTAGGGGTTCAAAGCGCTGCTTATGGAAAAAGCGGTGATGGTGATGATGTTCTCTTTGCTATGGGAAGGAGGAAAATATTTGTCAGCAGAAAAAGTATCACAAGAAAGCTTTCTGGTCCTACATTGTGCTCAGGAGTAAAAAGATGATTCGATTTTGGCATTAGTTACAGATCTGAACAGTTGCAGTAAAATTCTTTACCTATCACTCACAAATGGCAGTCCCCTTTTTGATTTGAGTTTATACAGGTTTTGTCTCTTAATATTAATGCAATGATTTAATGCCTTCTAATAAATTTCTTTAGCTGCAAGTTGAACTCAATATAGATGTAATTCATCTTAATGTCATCTATGGGAACTTGTAATTGCTGGGAAGCTCCCTCCATTTTATTTTTATTGAATTTTAATTACAGATATTGAGTCACATTTCCTTTACCCAGCCACCTGATCCTCTGACACCGCAGAGCCTCATGTAAACACCTTAAAAACCTGACGTCTGGTGCCTCTACAAGAGGGCCATGGTCCACCCACACAAACAATATGACTGCTCACTTGCATCCCCATGTATGTTACTTATTTTGAGAAAGATGTTTCCAAACAGGAGAGAAAATAACTAGCCCTATTGACTTTATACACACGTATCTAATGGCACCAATATTTAAATTGCTCACTAAGAGAGGTCACATTCCTACCCAAAAGCCATCCGTCAGTGAAAATGCTAAGCCTGTATCAGGTCTAACACTCCCCAGAACAGCAATGGGATTCTCTGCTTCCAAAGCAGTGTGTTTTATTTTCTCTTCTGAGTGTTAATTATTCTGCCATCCTTCCCATAAAGCACGCCCTCACCACATAGGACTATCTTCTCCACCAAGCCAGGATGGACACATCTGCTCCCTGCCAGCCTGGGCTCCCTGTACCCTGACAGTCACAAGCCAACACTGGGCCGTCACGCTCACGCGCCCGCGCTCAACCTGCTTGTTGAACTTCCCAGCTTTTGGCAGGCACACAGCAACTCTTACGGATAGAGAGCCTAGAAAATTCAAATCTCAGACATGCAGATTTATTCTGCCCTGATAATGCTGCTGGTAATGCTGGTAATGCTGCTGAAATACATGAATTTTTTTGGAAGAAGCCAGCTGGTAGGTTGTATCAGTGCACAAAACAGTCTCATCAAGATAGAAGCGTTTGTTTCTATCAGACAAGTAGCTCACCCACACCTCCTGCCCACATCTACCTCCGATACCACACTCCGCAATCCAAGCATGAAAGACAGCCGAGCACGGCTGGCTCCTACCGCACTAACACGGCTGCCGTCGTCATGCCACAGGCCAGAGGATTTCCAGCCCCCAGACACCACAGCCTGCCATTAGCACCAGTCACCAATCATGAGTTTCTCTAGGGAAACCTTGTCTGCATCTCTCAGCCTGGCACAGCAACCAGAGCCACAACCACACCTGTAACTTGTCCACAGTTAAGCAAAGCCAAACTGGACAGGACAAGTGACCCCTTTGCTAAAGCACAAGTAGGCACAGGGGTAACAAGGCTGCCAGCGAGCTCAGCTACATCCCAGCAGTTAAGACATGCAGCAGCCTTTGCAGCTGACAAGTTTCATTCAAAAATGAACAAAACTCACAAAGCTTTCCTAAGAACCCTGTAAAAGCTACCTTACCAAAACTATTACTGAGGTTATCCATATCCAAGAGAATGGGATGTTACCAAATGTTAAGTGTTACTGGTTTTAGTTATAGTTGGTTTTGAAAAAAACAAAAAGCATCTAAAATTAGCTCTTTTCTTGAAGCTGCCAATGATGGAAACAATATTGACACAGTTATATAGGATTTTTTGTTTTGGAGGGTATTTTGACCAGCATCAACGTTCCAAGTCTCTCTGCTTCAGGTAAAAACACTTATGATTAACTTTAAAGAGGCTGCTGGTGGTCCACCCTCTCCAGCTGGATTCAAGCAGCCTCAGAGCCACATGTCTCCGATCTTCTGGAAAATTGAGCTCCAGACTGAAGTTCTCTGCATCAGCTCCAATGCCTTTTTCACACCTTTGACTACAGAGCTGACCCTGGCCTCTTCTCAGTGAAAGATCTCCAATAGTCTCAAGTCTTGGGCTTGACTTCCACAACAAAATGATGCCAGCAATATTTAACAGGTCTGTACCCTAACTGGTGAGACAGAGAAACAAGCAGCACTCAGGGAAGGAGGACATCCACGTGCCTTCCCTGCTAACTGTAGTAACACTGACATAATGTTTTACTATAGTTTTCCTCATCAAAATGACAAAGTTGGATTCAGACCAGTATCCCAGGGCTGCAAAGACAGTGATGCTAATCCTTCCAGACACTGTCTTCATCAGAGCTGCTAATATATCATTTAAACAATTTACCAAATTAGCACCAGGCTGTATCTCAATCTGGCTGCTGCAAATCAGACTCCCTCCAGCCTGTGTTTGCTCTTTCCCCCTTGCGTCCTCCCTGCTCAGCCCACAGCAGTTTCTTGCTCTCAACAAGAACCCCCCTAAGAGCTGCCCTCAAGCCAGGGCCTGTGGGCAATGTACTGCTTGCAACACGCCAATACTGCACACAGAGAAAGAAAATACTAAAATTATAAACGCCATTCAGAACAGTAGGGACTGTTCCCCACCATGTCCTGCATGGTTCAGGGGTCTGCAATGGCTGCAGCCATCTCTTTGAGCATATCCCCGGGCAGAAACCATGGACACGATGCTGTGCTGCCTGCTTAAAAGTCTAATTTACCCCTCTAAAATTATTTTCTCAGCTGCTTTACAAACCATTTCCACAAGACAGTGCTTCTGACCAGAGGGTCAAGGTGGAGACAGTAAGTGGCCCAGCACAGCAGGCTAACGTGTCTCCTCCGCAGGGCTCCCGTGCCTGGTGCTGGCTCCTAGCAGAGCCATGAGCCTGTCCTGCTGCTCGTCTGTGGGGAGAGAAAGGACGGGGATCCCGGGGAAACGACAGACACGGACACTGTCTTTACTCTGAGGACCTTCAGCTACTGTCATGTGCAGCACATAAGCTTAACTCTACACTATTTCTGGATGGTACTAATAAGAAATAGGAGCTCACCTTTATTGGACAAGTGCTGCTTGCTCCAGTTCGAGCTGCAGGCTGTACCCCATGTGTAAGCTGAAGCAGGCGTCCTTTCTCTTAGGAAAAAAAGAGGTTTTTCTCCCCACGCTCATCCACCCAGACAAGGGCCCTATTTCTAACTAAGCTGAGTGTTTCCCTACTGCACGTGATTTAGCTCACATCTCTTCCAAGCATTGACAGCAGCAGATTATCATACGAGACTTGACATACAGAGAGTGCTTTTTGCAGCAGCATGGATGTTTGGGTCCAGCCATTACAGATCACATGAAATAATGACCTGCAGGTACAAGGGGATAAATGCACATACCTATAGAAAATACATGCCATCACTGACTGGGGCTGTATCCCAGCTGACAGCCAGGCACAGTGGAGATTGGGCTTGTAGTCAGATTGGTCTGCAAATACAACTTCATGTGGTATCTGACTATCAGCAGCTTAATCCAATCAGATACTCACTCACTACATCACCTGTGAATGCAAGAACTGGCTCTTAGGGTGAAGGGAGAAAGAGATGGTGAGGAATCACAGGACAGTTCTCCCTCTGTGAAGCTACAGGAATTTTTATAGTTTCTTTTAATGAAACCA